CGGCTCACGCGGTTGTCCCCTCTTGCGAGAATTTCGGCCTCGTCAAACTTGAGTGGAGATCTCCGACGCAAAGAAGTATTACCACAAAGAGTGAATAGCGGCAATATGAACCAAACTCGCACTGATCTGGCGTGGTTATATCGCCCGTCAAAGATCCATCAATCAAATGTCACACTGCATCTAATCGTTGACTTAAAAAACATCCCTTCCTATACTTTGGTAAACTCTATGATCTGAAAAAACTAAGTTTCTCCGCCATGTGTGTTTCAGACACGTCGGGATACGCACATGTTAAATGCCGGCCAATTTCCTTAACTCCACCGAATGAAGTACATATATAAATTAAACATGCTACTGCCTTGATTTCAGTAAAACATATCTCTACATGTAAGCTGGCGCTGTTGAATGATCCCAGGTTCAGGGAGCGCTTGGGGGACTAAGTAATGAGCCGGACCACTCGCAGCTGTGTCATGCAGCAGCGGAATACTGGCGAAACACGCGACTGTGCTTTTAGCTAGGACGGTAATTACAAAAGTGAATGCGCTGTCATTTCATAAATTCTCTGATCGCTTAACAATTTGATTCACTATCTGGCTTATGCGTTTCGCACTATGGTGGCTACTTCCTGATAGATTGTCATCATGAGACAGAGTTACTCGAGTGCCAAAAGTCTGGCCGCATCCCAAGTAATCAAGAGGTATTTCAAGTCAAGTACTTTCTGCTTTGTTTGGATGTATCGTCAATGGAGGACGATAAATATAAGACCGACCGCCGAAAATTACCAAATGCTTTCTAAACATTAAGCAGGATTTACATAGTACTTACAGGACGAATTAATGTTGAGCACCAGAGAGCTACCATCCTTTTAAAGAACATGGAGATTTGGACATCGCAGTCTCTCTCAGGTAACCGATAGTGCGTTTGTGAGCCACCAACATTCTGGCACCCTCTACCGTACATTAAAAACGTGTCAGAAACGACGGAACGTATCGCTGCAGAGCTCGGTGTGGGTATTGCCCATCGTCCGACAGCTACCATGCATTCGCGGATCATGCAAATAAAAGATCGACTGTAGGTAGGTGAGCAGTCTGACACCGTTTATCAACTATGATGTCGCGACTGTTCTTGTCATCGTACAGGCCGGACTGGGTGACAATTTAGCTCTCGAATAACAGAGCGCAAACGGATAGTGCGGAAAGGCGACCCACTACCTCCAAATTGTTACCCAGACCCAAGAGGAGGGTCATAGATAAAACTTCGCAGGCATGCGGTTAATGGCTAGAGCAAGTAATAAGACGGAGCGAGAACCACCGGAGGCCTGGGTATCAGACTCTAACTCCACCAGCAGATACGTTGACATACCGCCCTGCTATCACACCCTTCGTTCGCGCGGCCCAGTTTCTGTCTGAGGACGAACACCGAGATGACAAGGTGAGGTGACGTGGATGCGAACTCATTCTATCACGAATGCTGTCCCCTACCCCTACCACATTCTTTTTCGTAGCTGTAATACAAAACACGTCACTTCTTGCTGTACTCTCAGAGTCTGAAGATGGCCTCCCGTACGTTTCCGAGCGTTCCGACTAATATAAGCGCTGCTCAGTGATCGTGCCTTTGTTTTCTTTGTAATTAACAGACTATCATTGTCGACCGCGACAAACGAGACTCTGCACTTCAGTCGAGCCAGGGCCGCCCGCCC